AAAAAATATATTATTCAAAAAATATATTATTTTAGAAAAATAATAGTATTCCTGGAAAATTTTATTTTTCAAAAAATATATTATTTTAGGAAAATATATTATTTTAGAAAAATTATATTATTCAAAAAATATATTATTTTTAAAAAATATATTATTTTTAAAAAATATATTATTTTTAAAAAATATATTATTTTTAAAAAATATATTATTTTTAAAAAATATATTATTTTTAAAAAAATATTATTTTAAAAAGTAATATATTATTTTAAAGATAATATATTACTTTTAAAACTAACATATTATTTTGAAGAAATTATTATAATAATAATTATTTTAAAAGATTGAAGTTGTTTTTTTAAAAAATGTTTTTGAAGAAATTATTATAATAAGAATTATTTAAAAGATTATTTTAAACCTTAAATGAATTTATTTTTGAAATATTAAGTAATGATTTTGATTTTAATAAATTTAGGTCAGTTGCAACTAAGTTGCAACTATGACTTGCGGTCATTTTTTACGTAAGTCATATGTTGCAACTAAGGGTTGTTTTGCAACTGTGGTTGCAACTGCAACTGTGAGTTGCAGCAAAACAAACACATGCAACTAGTCAAATTGGACCTAGTTGCATGCAACTGGAGTTGCAACCACTCCAGTTGCAGCCTACCAAACAGCCCCTTAAGCCATTCCCAACCACTTCCCCACAGCCGTTTGAGAACCACGCCATTCTCACCTCATACCTACCCACGTTTGAGAGCCATTAATAAAAGGAAAGAATAATTTTTCAAAACAGACTCATTCGGATTTTTATTTTTCAAAATCGACCGTTTTTTCTTTTATTTATCAAAACCGACCGGATTTTGTGATTAGCAGGTTAATCACTATCCTAAATAGTCGGGGTTGGCAACCCCGACTATTTAGGAGGGTGTTAAACCCTAATTAAAGGCCTCGAGTCGTGGAAGAAGGCCGCTCCCCACATTGACCCCCCTAAATCGCCGCTCGACTTCATGAAGGCTCGGCACCCGACGCCTGCTTTGATCCCTTCGAAGCTCACGGTCAACTTTGTTTTGCCCTAACGATCTGAGATCTCCAGTAAAGAGGTTTGCTTTTGCTTGGAATTTGTAGCTAGGGTTTTTGTTTGATTGGTTGGACTGAATTTTGTTGATAGATATTTGATGACTGCGCGTTGGATTATGGATAGATTGAATTATAAAATGGGGACTTTTATGAGTGATTGCTGGGTGTTTTAGGGATCGTTTATTTCATTAAAAACCGTCCAGTTGAATTAGGTGTTGGGGCTTCTTAGCTAGGTAGAGTTTTGCTGGTGAAACGTTTCGTGCATCCTAATCATTTCATTTTTATGTCCTTTTTTTTTTAGAATTTTCTGTTGATTTGCATTATATACTAATTTTTTGCATCATTTTCCCCTGTATAAATAGGGGACATTGTGTCATTGCACCTTTTTAGAGTGGAACTCAATATTTGCAAGGATTTACAGACTTTTGATGCCATCTTTATAGTTAAGTAAGTCACGTAAAGGAGTAAATTTTCTTGGCAACCAAGTAATTCGGTTGGATTGGACACAATATACTTTTGTTCTTTAGTGTAATTTAAACGCATGAAACTACGGAGGTTTTTGTTCTTTAGATCTTCAGTAACTAATGTTTCTGATGCAGTTGGCTTGGTTAGTTCTGTTATATATTAGGCTTAATTACAGAAAATCCCCATGGACTTTTGAGGAGTTGCAGTAAGCTCCATCAACTTTTTTTATTACACTGAACCCCGATCTTTAGGAGTTGTTGCACATAACCCCATGAACTGTCTTATTTCACATGAAAACTTCTCATTTAATCTCTAAATTGCCACCATCAATTCTAATATCTCATGTGGCAAGCACCATTAATTCTAATATCTCATTGGCAAACATGTGTAAGAACAAAAAAAAAAGGAAAATAGTTCCTTAGCCCTAAAACATTACCTATTTTCCACGCACATAATGACAAATATGCTGTGGTAATTAGTTCAGAAAAGATTTTGTCATCGTTATTATGTGCATTTTTGTCAAAGTTTGCTTTGTGCCATTATGTGCATTTGGCTAATCATAATTAGTTCTTTAAGATTATTGCAATTGTACTTATCTGCACAACAAGTTGATACTGACTTTTTTTTGCACAAACAGTGGGGCGATAATTTTTTGAAGATTTATCCTTTGCATTGTCGAATCCTTTGGGTTGTTTGGGCATGATTGTAAGCCAATTAGCTTACGGAGGAACCAACATCTTAGGCAAGCTCGCCATAGAGCTAGGACTCAGCTGCTTCGTCCTCACCGTCTATCGCCATCTCATAGCCATGACGGTCTTCGGTCCCCTCTCCTATGTTCTTGAAAGGTCAGACCATCGATACAAAATTTTATTTTTGCTCATTTGATACCCTAATGTTTTAGGAAATTGAACTTTTGTGCTTTTTTTCCCGTTGATCAAACGTTGGCTTGTATATAGGAAACAAAGGTCATCTCTTTCATTGTCGATACTCATGAATATTTTCGTCCTCACGTTGTTTGGAGCAACGATACATCTAAATCTATTCTATGTAGGGCTTGATTATACATCCACAACTGTGACAAGTGCTTTGAGCAGTGCAATTCCTGCTCTTACGTTTACCATGACAGTCTTGTTTAGGTGAGCTCATATACATAAGCATATCAAGATAGTTCGTATACATTATTCATAATTAAAATAATCACATGATTTTAATCAAATTAAGAAAAAGTATGCACATAAATTTATCACATTATTCATAATTAAAATAATCACATGATTTTAATCAAATTAAGAAAAAGTATGCACATAAATTTATTGAGATTGGTTTATAGAATTTTTACACATGATTTTAATCAAATTAAGAAAAAGTATGCACATAAATTTATTGAGATTGGTTTATAGAATTTTTATTTTTCTTCTTACTAAGATGGAAAAGGTCAAGATTAAAAATGCAAAGGGGAGAGCAAAGTTAATAGGAGCTTTAGTTTGCATTACTGGAGCTCTTTTTTTTACTTTTTGGCAAGACCCTCTCATCCCCGGATTTGTTAAGAGGCATTTGATTACAGTTCAAGGAAAAAACTCTGGCCATGGATCAAAACATTATAAAGATGATTGGATCAAAGATTCCCTTCTTATATTCATCGTCAATGCCATATTTAGTGTATGATTCATTCTTCAGGTTAGTCTCCTTCAAATGTGTTGCTATGATCCTTCTCAACATTGCATACTTCGGTTAAAGAGTTTACGAAGATTGAACCAAAAAGCTTTGATGATTTTTCTACCGGCAAAGGTTTGCGATGTTTATCTAGCAAGATTATCGATAAACACCCTAATCTACTTCTTCGCATCCCTTCAGTCAGTAGCAATTGCCCTTATCTTTGACATGAATGCATCTTCTTGGAAATTAGAATGGAACATAACTTATAACAGTCATATACTCAGTATATAACTTAATTTGTCTTCTCATTTATTAGCAGAAAACCTTATTGATTCTTAAAGATTTCGGTAATAAGTTATGGCTTTGTGCAGGGAATTGTGATATCTGGCCTTTCATATTATTTGCAAACTTTTTGTATCAGCAAGAAAGGACCAGTATTTGCTGCTATGTTCTCTCCACTAAACCTTGTTCTAGTGGCACTCTTCTATGCTTTTTTTTCGCTGAAAGACTTTATATGAGCTGGTATGCAGGAAAAGAAAGAATTCTAGTAAAAACATACTACATAACAAAAAATCCTGGTTTAGTAATTTCCCCACCTCTCTCTCTCTTTCTTTTCCTGCATACCAGCTCATATAAAGTCTTTCAGCGAAAAAGAAAGCATAGAAGAGTGCCACTAGAACAAGGTTTAGTGGAGAGAACATAGCAGCAAATATTGGTCATTTCTTGCTGTCGCTGATACAAAAAGTTTACAAATAATATGAAAGACCATATATCACAATTTCCTGCACAAAGCCATAACTTAGTACCGAAATCTTTGAGAATCAATAAGGTTTTCTGTTAATAAATGAGAGGACAAATTAAGTTATATACTGAGTATATGACTGTTATAAGTTATGTTCCATTCTAATTTCCAAGAAGATGCATTCCTGTCAAAGATAAGGGCAATTGCTGCAGACTGAAGGGATACGAAGAAGTAGATTAGGGTGTTCATCGATAATCTTGCTGAATAAACATCGCAAACCTTTGCCTGTAGAAAAATCATCAAAGCTTTTTGGTTCAATCTTCGTAAGCTCTTTAACCGAAGTATGCAATGTTGAGAAGGATCATAGCAGCACATTTGAAGGAGACTAACCTGAAGAATGAATCATACACTAAATGTGGCATTGACGATGAATATAAGAAGGGAACCTTTGATCCAATCATCTTTATAATGTTTTGATCCATGGCCAGAGTTTTTTCCTTGAACTGTAATCAAAGGTCTCTTAACAAATCCGGGGAGGAGAGGGCCTTGCCAAAAAGTAAATAAAAGAGCTCTAGTAATGCAAACTAAAGCTCATATTAACTTCGCTCTCCCTTTTGTATTTTTAATCTTGACCTTTTCCTAAAAATTCTATAAACCAATCTCAATAAATTTATGTGCATACTTTTTCTTAATTTGATTAAAATCATGTCTAAAAATTCTATAAACCAATCTCAATAAATTTATGTGCATACTTTTTCTTAATTTGATTAAAATCATGTGATTATTTTAATTATGAATAATGTAATAAATTTATGTGCATACTTTTTCTTAATTTGATTAAAATCATGTGATTATTTTAATTATGAATAATGTGTACGAACTATCTTGATATGCTTATGTATATGAGCTCATTTAAACAAGACTGCCATGGTAAAAGTAAGAGCAGGAATTGTACTGCTCAAAGCACTTGCCACAGTTGTGGGTGTATAATCAAGCCCTACATAGAATAGATTCAGATGTATCGTTGCTCCAAACAACGTGAGGACGAAAATCTTCATGAGTATCAACAATGAAAGAGATGGTCTTTGTTTCCTATATACAAGCCAACGTTTGATCAACGGGAAAAAAGCATAAAAGTTCAATTTCCTAAAACATTAGGGTATCAAATGAGCAAAAATAAACTTTTGTATCAATGGCCTGACCTTTCAAGAACATAGAAGGACCGAAGATCGTCATGGCTATGAGATGACGATAGACGGGGAGAACGAAGCAGCTGAGTCCTCACTCTATGGCGAACTTGCCTAAGATATTGGTTCCTCCGTAAGCTAATTGGTTTACAATTATGCCCAAATAAGGTGCAATGGCTTTCATGGAGCTCATCCAACCTGTGTAAGAGGAGGAAGGAGAAGGACCGAAGCGGGAAGAAGAAGAAGCCAAGGAGTGATGTTGACAGAGTTGCAGCTGAATTCAAGAAGAGAGGTATAGTTTTTACTTAATTTAGGTTTATCTGCACATTAATACTGCAAAGTTTCACCCCTCTTTAACTTTGATGCTCTGAAGTTCTATTTTGACAAGTTGACCCCAACATGAAAAAATGTTGACGATAATTTTCTTTCAAGAATAACAACACAACAAAATGAATGGAAAAGGCAGTTTCTTTATAAGTGTTTTGAGTTTGGGTAAACGGAGGAGCTAATTTAGGGCATTGGGGTATCAAATTGTAATATCAATGGCAATCTGAAAACTCTTGAGTGTCAAATTGTTTAAAACAGAACTTCATGGTCTCAGAGTTAAAAAGGGTGAAACTTTGGGGTATTAAAGTGCACATAAACCTTTAATTTAGTAGAAAGAAAAGGGGAGAAGGTATTGACAATTTGATGTATTGGTTTCTTATCATGTTTTTATTCTGTAGTAGTTTCCGTTACTCTTGCCAATATCGGTAAGGCTGGACTATCTGAGGATGGTGGTCTTCAGGATGCGGAGTCAGATACTCCATCTGTGAAGAGTGAAGAAACAAAAGAAGATGCACCATCTCAGCATAATTCTGGTGATCAAGTGGAAAGAACGGATAGTGGTAATCAAACGGAAATAATGGATGTTGACAGTAAACTGAAACATGTTTTAGTCATTAAAGCTTCTAAAGGAGGTTCTAGTGATGAAGTACCAAGGCAGAAAAATGCATCAGAAGTGCATGTAAAGGTCAAAGTGGAGGACGGGCATGCTGGTATTTTATCGCAAGCTGATGTTTCTGCTGCATCTCAGAAGAGAAGGGAGGATGAAGTTAAGGAATCTGTCAAAGAAGAGGTATGCTTTCTATTGTCTACCCACTGAGTATGTTACCTTATATTCGCACAGTATCAATCTTTTTATTCTGGACCTAGTTTTTGGCATAGTGTTTCAACTTTGCAATCATGAAAAACTGAAATACACTTTAATACCACTTATGCGAAACTGGTTTCTGTGCATAACCTGGTGTCAGTTGGCAAGAAAGAAACTATAGGGGGTTTGGGTAGTTGTATGTCTATTAGTGTGGTATGTGGCTTTTTGTTGGGGTTGGGGGGTGGGGGTTGTGGTGGTTGGAAGTTATCAATAGTTGATTACAACTCTTGCCTCTTGTGGTTTTTATTTATTATTTTTTTGGGATGGGGAATTCCACGGAGGGCCCTCTATATAAAATCATATAGGGCAAAAGCGGAACATAGCACATGCCCCCTACCAATTTTAAACCAGTGCAATAAACATAATATATCACTACTGTACATAATATATCACTACAATTATTACATACGACATCAATGCAATTGTCAACCTAGATATGTGTCACGCCTCGGACTTGCAAGCATGTTGGCCCGATGCAAGCCTTGGGACCACTGAGCACAATACGTTTTGCTCAAACCACTGCTAAAATGATTAGTCATTGTTACAGTTGATTAATGATTCTATAACCTACCTTATAAATCCATCCTTCAGTGATTTTCCGATGCGGGACAGATAAAAGGAGTATCACAATAACCCCAACTTAACTATACGAGGTCCTCATCATGGGATGACGGTGGTCTATTCCAAGGTCATCACTGGACTTTGAGGATTCTATAGGTCGCCCACCATGCTCATGTGCATGCAGTTGGTCCCACATAGCAGTTAGCTTCTCACTTCCGATTGACTAACTGTTTTGTTACCATTTGTCACACCTCCATGCTGTGAGTCCGTGGGCATGATGTCCACAGCCGTATCCATGCAACATAGAGGACCAACATAAATTTGACTAAATGAACAATTGGCTAGCCAATAACCATGTTGGACATGTCTTCTCCTGGTTCAATATGAGTCAACCATTTGCCAAGGTCTTGCCTTGAAGAATCCCAATCAAATATATGGTTATATAATGCAATAGTTTAAGTTCGGCTAGGAATAGAAGAAGCGAAGTTAATCATTTTGTTGAGATTAAAAATTTTTGTAGTACAAAATTATAGCCGTCAATGTTGTCACAATATAGCTTTGGTGAAACCATAGGGTTTTAATAGGGAAGCAGTCCCATGGCCTCAACGACGGATGTTTGTGCTGCTTTGAGATGTTAGCATGGGGTTACAAGTAGGTTTGCTCTACAAAACACATACTCAGATAATCGTCTCTTATAAAAGAGAATTATTGGGGTTACAAGTAGGTTTGCTCTACAAAACACATACTCAGATAATCGTCTCTTATAAAAGAGAATTATATGCTAGATGGCTAAATAAACTTAAACTCAATACTCAAAAAGATAAATCAATTAGATCGATGTGAATCCAACCAAATTAGCCATACTCATCTCCATTCATATGCCTTTGCGAGCCAATACTCAAAAAGACATATTCACATTCAAGTTATTTTTAATAGGAAAAGTAAAAAGGAATTTCAAAGGACAGGGACATCAAGTTGAAGTATAAGGGACAAGACAATGTAGTCCAGAGCTTAAAAGAGGCAAATATGTGTTTTCAAATTACCAAGTGGGTAATTACCTTCAGGTATAGGTTGTTTTGTCCTGGCTAGTGGATCTTCTAGAAAGTTTGTACTTGAAGCTCGTACATCTGCCGATCCTCTGGAGTGCCAGACTCTTTACTTAAATTGGTTCACAAGCAGTTAACTCATTTGTTGGCGACATTTGTTTGTTATTCATTGGGGTAGGTTTTATTGTTTAGTGGTTTGTTTTTAAAATTAAGATCAGGTCTTACTTATTCCTATACATTTAAATCACATGAAAGGCCTTTGATACAAGAGGTGGAAATAGAATCTTAGAATGTCCTCCATAGAAAATCAAAGGTCGGGTTTGGTGATACCCATCTGTTTTCTCCCATATCAGAAAATTATGAAAGTATGGACCGGTTTATAACGTGGCTCATGTGAATCAAGTGTAACAATTGCCCGTCAATTTTGGCAGCATTTCGAGCCAAACAACGTTTTGCACTTAGTGGGTACACGGACGCATTGCAGACATGGGATGCAACAAAATTGTAAAAGGTAGGATACAGGAACACAGTTATATACATGCATATTAAAATTAGTAATATATGAGATCAATATTGTTTTTCATTCAAATGTTATAAGAACTAAAATCTAAAGTCTTTATACCAATTTTATGTTGCTTTCATTGAGTAGATTATAAATTAATAAACTGCTCTTTTTTAACTAGATACCTAGACAATCTTTTAGAATAATACTTATGAACTAGGTATGTGTTAAAACGAACTCATCCCAAGCTCAACAAGTTGCGTAAATTTTAGGTGAATTGTACGGTATACATACAACAAGGGTATCACAAGATTTTAGACTAAAACATGCATTATATAATTGAGTACACATCTGAATAAATGTATGCACATATTCAAGAAATGTCCAAGGAGTGTCAAACATGGAATGGATATGTAAAGTGTCGGAAACAGATACGGGAGCATGGATGAAGTGTCCAGGTAACCTAGCTGGTCATGTATTATTGCTTGTCTTGCTTTACAAGAAAAGGGAAACACTAATAAAATCTTTATGTATTTACTTGCGTGCCCATTGGTTTATTTCATGTACTAGGGGTCTTTTAGTTAATTTTTGGACAATTATACTACCCCTGAAGCATTTCATTTCATTGATCTCAAAAACATTTTCCTATTTCATATTTATGCACGATAACTGTTTGAGCTGAAGTATATTTTGCTAGTCATGCACCTAACTCAGTTTTAAGTTCCATCACTAGATTATTTCTTTCTGCACCATTAAAACGAGCAACATTGGTTTACTATTTTATTAGGATTTAAGCAAAGCTATACATGACTTGAGACAATCCAAGGATGAGAGCAATTTTTCAGCGAGATCCAAATGGTCCGGAGAAGGCTAAGCCTTTATCTTCTAGTTCGTGTCAGAGAAATGAAAAGATGAACCAACCAGTCACTCAACCACCGTCAGAGCTTTCTAATCATTCAAACTCCATGCATCCGCCAACATCTGTAAACGATGCTAACACTTTAGGTGATGATCAACAGGTAATAAACATAAGCTATGGGCATGTCTTTTTTCTATTATGATTTTTCATAATAATGACATTCCTCTTTTCTGTTTTTCTTGGTTTTTCTCTTATTATTGACAGCTTGGTTTACTTTTGCATCAAGAACTAAACAGTTTTTTTAAAATTATTTTATAGGACTCGAGCAAAGCTGTAAATTGTTTGAAACAATCCAAGGATGAGAGCGATTTTGATGGGGTTCCGAACAATTCAACACAGGCTAAGCCGGCGTCTTCTGGCTTATCTCAGAAAAATGAGAAGTTGAACCCACCAATCCCTCAACCACTCTCAAAGCGTCATAGTCATTCAACTTCCATGCATCCACCAACATGTGCAAGTGCTACTACCACTTTAAGTGATGAAGATATACTATCATAAGCTACTGGTATATTCTTTTGTTATTTTTATTTTTTTAATAACGAAATTTCGCTTGGTTTCTTATCTCTCTCATATTTTGACAGCTTGCATTACTTTTACATCAAGAACTAAACAGCTCTCCTAGAGTTCCAAGGGTTCCACGCATGCGTCAAGCATCGGGTATGCATTTGACTTCTCAATCTGCTCCAAGTATGCTTTCAAAGCGCTCTTCACATTCTGCAGGAAAAGATCAGGTATAATACTTGATTTTGAACCTAACATTGATGACACAAAACCAATTGTTTGTTACTTTCTAAGATTCCAATCTCAGGATTGTTTGTTACTTTCTAAGATTCCAATCTCAGGCAATGGCTTGTGATGTACTCGTATGTTTGTGAGAAATTGAGGGTTGCTTACCTGATGTCTGCTTCTTTGTCCTTTGAAAGGTGTTTAGAAGCAAGAACAAAGAAGAGGCATCCAGAGATGGGTCTTGCAACTCCCATGAGTCAATAGATGAAACAAAAAGGCTGGAAGAGCTATGTCTATTCCTGATCGGAGATGTCGAGAATCATACTTTGCAGATGGTTCTGCCAAGAAGGATTCACGGCATCGGTCACCAGATACTGTTGTGTCTTTGAAGAAGAACACATCTTGTGTCTTCACTGAAGGTGAGAACGCCAGCCAATCTTTCTTTGAGGCTAGCAGACAGAATGTGTCATCCGTGAAGGGTTTTCCTAGGGATGCTTCAGATGATAAGACTACTCGCACTTTGCCTGGTACGAAATGCATACATTTTTACAAGTTTATGGGATGCTTCAGATGATAAGACTACTCGCACTTTGCCTGGTACGAAATGCATACATTTTTACAAGTTTATGTCTATTTCATGTACTAAGCAGCATGCCTCCTTTGTTCGATAGGATTAATCAATGAGATCTTGAGCAAGCAGAAGTGTTCGTCATACGAAGAACTATGTGACGCTGTTCGTCCGGTATGTTGTTTCAAGCTGTAATATTTGTAGGATGAGCTATCTATAGATGGCTCTAGCTTTTATTTTTCCTTCATTTCGATTTATTGTTCTTATTGTTTGGCTTCATTGCAGCACTGGCACAATGTTAGGAAGCCAAATGGAGACCGGTATGCTTATTCTAGTCATTCACATGCTGTTTTGGATTGCTTGAGGAACAGGAGTGAGTGGGCACATCTCATTGCCCGGGGCCCGAAGGTAATATATGTCGCAGACAACAATATCTAGGCCTATGGTATATGTTTTATTTTCAATTCGCATGAGGAAAGAGGTAGTGAAAGATTGGAACTGTTTTTTGTTCAATTTGCGGAAAGACGGAGTGAATGGCCTTTATGCGTTGATCATGAAAAAAATGATAAAAAAAGCTTTTGCTATTATTGCTTCCTTTTTTCCTCATGCTGCCTGTAGTCTTGCCTTTATTTTCCCCCTTTCTGGCTCACATTTCTTCTTAGCAGTTTCTGGGTTACAAAATGGTTATCCTTACCATTATTTTCTCTTCTCAGATCTCATTTTTCTTGATGTGATGATATTCCCAGTTGGTTATATCTCCATGAATAATCAAACAAAGTTGCATCTTCTTTTTCTAGACTGCATACTTATTCTACTAGTATTATGGCTCCTTTCAAGATTGATGCAAAATAGGTTTTGTCTTGTCCTTGGTAGTAAAAGGTGGGAAAGTAGGGGGGAAATCTTGAACATTGTACATAGGAAACTCACATCCTGTTGGTATCTTGAAAATTTATACTAAAAAGACTTTCCTTATTTTTACACTCATTTTATTTGTCAATTTCAGACCAATTCTAGCAAGAGAAGACAGAAGACTGATTCAGATACACCAACCATGGAAGAAACAAATAATGAAGAAGCAGAAACTAGAACTTCTTCAAGGGAGTTAGATGACAAAAGTGGGGATTCACACAGGGGAGATTTTCCGAAGGGTAAGCGGAAGGCAAGGAAGCGTAGGATGTTGAAGGTAAGAGGGCAGAGTGAGGAGTCCAAGAAGAGAAAGCGAACCACTAGCTCAGGATCTGCCATCCTATCAGAGGACGATGATAGTGATGATGATGAAGAATTTGCTGGTGCATTCTCCAATTCGAACAATAAGGGAGCTGATGTGGAATTCAGCGAGGATGAGAGCCATGGAGCTGTAGAATGTACTCTTAGAACTGAGGCCTCAACTTCGACCAGCTCTGCAAGTTCAAGATAAGAAAGTTTATCCAAGGGTACATAATTGTGGGGATGTGGTTACTTAATGGAGTAGCGATCCATGGAGTGCTTCTTGATTGAGTTTTAACTTGTTTTAGAACTCAATTTTCATCATCATCCAAATTCATCGATACATGACTAGTTTTCTTATAGGCGCTTCTAGATGTTCTTTGAATCTTCCACTGTATATAAAGGCTAAATGTTGGCTTTCTGTTTGGCTTTAAATCTCAGAAGTTTAGCTTATCCTTACAGTTATATGACCTTTTGGTTAGGTTCAGTTTGAATTTGAATAGCAAAATGGAGTATCTTGTATGTGTACCAGATTCTAGTTGAAGCAGTTCATTTTGTATTTTCATTTGAGTAAATCAAAATTTTGATCTGCTGTCAACCAGTCACCTGTGAACTTAAGAATTTCACATTATCCCTACTGCATATTATCTTTTATTTTTAAATTTTATTTTAAATTTCAGTTGCAAAATGGAAGCTCTTGTATGCACTTTAGATTCTAGATGAAGTAAAGGGAGCTTTAAATGTTTAAATTTATCTGTAAAAGTTGATTATTGATTCTGTCATACCTCTTTTATAGACTGTCACAGTTGATCATATTGTTGAAATTCTTCGATACTTGTTTTGTCATGTTATCCATGACTTTAGTTTCGATGCAGGAAATTTCTTGTTGGTAGAGTTGCAGCTGAAGAAGAAAGGTATAGTTTCTGTTTTAAATATTAGATTAGATAGAAGAGGGAATGTGCTGATCGATGCATTTTCTATCATTTGTTAATGTTTTAGCAGGTCCAGTTCCTGTTGCCCATATGGAGAAGGCTGGATTCTCTTAGGGCAAGGGTTTTAGGTCATGGAGTCCGTATTCCAGTATGAAGAGCGATGAATCAGAGTGATGGTACGTTAACAAAAACTGTAAAAGAGGTCTATTTTCAGTCATGTATCCATGTAGCCTTTCTTCTATGCCACCTAGACTAGGATATTAGGTCAATTTTTATTCTACACCCGGCTATGCCTTACGATATTTAGCTCTAGTAGGGGAGTTAATTCAATATTTATAGCCAACTAGCCATGTGCATGATGTGTAATAGTTCTTAGTTCTAGAGAATGACAATGATTCTAGTTGAACAAGTTAACATGAAGTCAAATATTCTGCTACAAGACTTTGACAGCCCCAAGAGTTACTGAGTTGGGATGAAATTATTTTTCCTGATAGTTTATCAACAAGGTTGCCCAATGTAGAGAAAATATTCATAGAATAGCATAAGTCATAAATGTGATGGCAAAGTTAGCACTTGATTGTATGGGATGGTTAAAGGTAGTTCTTTACTTCAAAAATACAACGAGCTGTACAGATGATGATGATAACACGCGCATGACCATGGGATTTTTTTTTGTGTGTGTTTTCAAAAATGAGTGGGAACATGTTGGGAAAAAGTTGACACCGTGGATTGTTCTTAATTATATTGAAGTATATTTAGTCTTAAGGAGAATGGAAGTTAGATTAAGGAAAAACAGGATCACTTGAGGCACATAGGCCCTGAGATCATGAGTTGAGCTAAACATTGGAAGAGGCGTTTAGGGTGGATGGATGATGAAATTAGGGAATATAATTTTAATGAGGTAAATTTAGGATTATATGAGAGAAATGAAATTAATGAGAACTTTTGAGCCACATGTGGCATTGGTGATGAAATTCTCAATCTACATTGATGTATAACTTAAACATGAAGGCATTAGCAAATGTGGTAAGAGAAACATGAAATGCACTTTGCTATGAAGAAAAACACATAAGCCCTGTTTGGATTGAGGTGAATAAGGAAGAAGGGAAGTTAGGGGAGGCATTCATCCTGTTTGTATTTGTTTTTTGTGGGTGAAGAGTTCCCCCTAGTTCATCCTCAACAAGACAAAAATTAGGGTGTAACGGAGAGGTGATAACAATATACTTAGTGGAGCAAATGAGGACAAGTACATCTCATAGACCTTTAAGTTGATTCTAATGTCACAATTTTTTTAGTTAGTTAATTCTAACGTCACAAATAAAACGACAAAATAGTTATCATTTCATCAGGTATTTGAATTGAAATATTATACTTCTGATCAAGACAAAGTTCTATGTCTGAAGCAGCAGGATCCTTTTCCGTCTTACTGAAGGCTTGCGGATTTTCCCACCATTACCAAAACCATTGACAAGTAAGTTATCTTTTTTCTCCTTTTTTTCCCTCTACTTTAATTTTCAGCATCTACAACTCGTTTGTTTGACTAAAGAGATGAATGAACGCAGGAAGTAAATGACAGTGCGCCAGTATGGCAGCTTCTCAGGATATATATCGTCTCTCAGATGATGATGATGATGATGATGATAAAAAATGGTGAATTTGCTGCTGCATTCTCTTACTCCAGCAGCCATGCGGTGAACAAAAGTTATGCTATGCACGGATGAGTGTTATGCTATGCTCCAATGAGTTTTATGTAATTTGAATGTGGGCTTCAGTTGTCATTTTCTTGTATTTCAATGGACTTGGATCTCTTTTTTTTTTTTTTTTTTACCTTTTTTTTTTTTTTTTTTTTTACCTGCCAAATCTACAGTCACATCAGCAGCTTTACTTGTGCTAGCTTAATGCAGGTTGATCCTAAATAGTGTTGATATACCTTGTTGTTTCACTCTTGTGTACCCCTTAAACGCTCCAAGTTACAACATGCAGCGAAAAGATGCCTTGGGTTTATAAAATTGTGCAAATTGGTCTCCGGCGGGGTGAGGAGCTATGAGGCGGTGATCGGGGATCTTTACGAGGAGGGGAGGATTAAGAGTGCGGATAAGGTGTTTGGTGAAATGTGCAATAGAGGGTTTAGGCCGACGGTGGGTTTGTACGAGAAGAAGATTGCGGCTTTGTGCGATGACAAGAGGGTCGGTGATGCGGTTAGGGCTTTGGAGACGGAGATGAAGGGGAGGGGTTGCGTTCCGAGCGTTAGGGTTTATGATCTGATAATGGGAGGGTTTTGCAAAGAAGGGAAGGCGATGAGGGCGGCCGAGATGTTGAAGAGGATGGAGAGGCAAGTGGGAGGGTTTTGCAAAGAAGGGAAGGCGATGAGGGCGGCCGAGATGTTGAAGAGGATGGAGAGGCAAGTAGGTTGTGTTGCCAAAAAAGAAAGTTTTGAGATTGTGGTGAATGGATTGTTGGGCGAAAGGAAGTTTGTTGAGGCTTCTGAGGTTTTGGAGAAGATGGCGAGGAGAAGGTATTGGGCTGGGGGCGAGGTTTACAGTGAAGTTGTTCGAGGACTCTGTTGTGCTGGGAGGAGATATGAGGCTGTGTTGTGGTTAGAGGAGATGGCGAGCCAGGAGAAGGTGCCGGAGGTCTCTGCATGGAGCTCGCTGGTGAGCTTGGTGTGTGTTGATCATGATTCAGTACAACTTTCGTCGGGAGGTCTCTGCATGGAGCTCGCTGGTGAGCTTGGTGTGTGTTGATCATGATTCAGTACAACTTTCGTCGTGTTTGGATTCTGTGGCAGATGATTAAGTACGAGAGCCAGTTTATTTGCGAACAAGTATGCAGCATGATGTTCTGCAGCAACGTACTGTGGGTTCACAATAAGTGTTTCGAAGGTGTAACTTTTTGTGTTGGTCAGTATGTTCCAAGATGTGCAGAAAATGAGTAGCAGAAATGAGAATGTTGCTCTTATTGAGGATGCAATGAGAAGTGAGGGCATCCTTAGGAGGTTGGAGGTTGCTCTTATTAAGGATAGAACGAGAAATAATCGACCGTAATAGCATGGTCATATTCAAAGGGGTCCGCTAAAAATACCCACCGGGAGATTAAATAAAGATTAATAGCTAACGACGGCACAAAGGAGTAACGATAGACCTAAAAGAACTTGACTGGAAGCAGTTAAGAAGGAAACGATAATATTCAACTTAATGGAGAAGATGACCTTAAAGGGAGGAATATGATTAAGTAGCCGATCCAAATATAAAGTGATACGTGATTTGTTGTTGTTGTTGTTATTATTGTTGGTATTGACTTCTTGTGATAATAACAGGCGTGCCGTCAACATTTCAGATTTGAGAAAATAATCTTGTTGTTTGTGGTTTGGGTTGATCTCTTTTGGCGATATTTTCGGAGCTCATCAGTTCTTGAATGATGGGTGTCTGGCTGGATACGCTGTTGAAAGTTAGTTTTGGGCGTGGGGGAAATTTTGTCACGTTGGTTTTAGTGGTCATGTAATATATCTATTGTATATCTGAATGAAGGTAGATTGTTATTCACATTTGCGTTTGTTCTTCGAAGTTAACTGTATTTTCTTCGAATGCAAGATTTTCATAAACCAAAACCAAAACTAACAGTGTATGGCCAAAGAGGAGAATTTCTAGTTGCCCCCTCCATCAACTCCGTTTCTTCTGCTTCCAGATTTCCAAATGGGAGCTGATGTGATTTTCTTGACGACATTATTTGAAGATATTGTTTTCTCAATGTCCTACGTGTTCAGAGATGATTTGTCAACAGAGGCTCGAACGATGACACGTGTCGTGCTGATTTGGAGCAACAGCCATCATTCATTGTCGAAGAGCGTGTCTAATTACGAGACTATAAGAGTTGTACTACTCACGAAAGGATGGATTTAGAACATCTCCAACCCAAAAATCCAAAATGGTGTAGTTTTTACACCAAGTTGGTGTAGTTTTCACATCAAATCACTATTTTATCTCCAACCCATTACACCAAATGTTACACCAAAAAGAATATTCATTTTGTTATCCTTATTTTTTAACATTTTTATATATTTAAAATATTTGAAGTATTGCAATTAGTGGTAATTTTTAATGTCCTTATTTATGTGTAATTTTTTTTATGTCCTAATGTTTATGTTGTATTTTTTTTATCTAAAGAGTGTAGTTTTTCTTATTTCTTCATTTGGTTCTAGTATTATAAAATTTTAAGTGTTTGGATTAAATTATCTATTATTTTTCCATTGTTGAATTTTATTTTAATAATTAATTTATACTCTAATTTCATTATAATAGTTAATATAAAATAATATATATTATTAATACAAATATAAATAATAATAAAAAGTTTGTTTCTGTATTTCTTCTCATAAGACCTTCCATAAAAAGTTTTTTTAAAAAATTAATTACGCCAATGCTACAGTGTTACGCCATTTCTGACGCAACACTGTAGTATCCCGCTATTTTAGCGGGATGTTTTGGCGCTCCAATGGAGCGTCAAAACACTCCAAAATGGAGTTTTGGCGCTCCATTGGAGACGCCCTTAAACACGGTATTTCCATGAATACACCATATTTCGAAATTGTACCTTTTATAGTTGTACAAAACCTTCTTATTTTATAAATACCAAGTGTTCTATTGCAATACCTACATTCGAAAAATAGCTACAAACTCCAGTAGTAGTCCTCTAAAGAATAAAAAACAAAAGAAAAACATAATCCCAAATTCCAAATTTGACTACTCATCCTAAGAGCAAACGAAACAAGAAACGTTAGAAAAAAAGAAAGAAAGAAAAAGAAAAAAAAAAGAGGTCGGGGGCTACGACCTCCACGTAAGCGCATACACCCCCATAGTCCCCAATTTCTTCCCCCCTTTCGAGTTTCCAGAACCATCGTTTATAAAGGAGAGAAAAAGTCGGAAGCCAAAGGGGCAATTTCTCCCGATTCCCAAATCCATTGCCTGCGATCTAGGGTTTCGAATCTCTCCACGCTTTCTCTCACAAATCCGCCTTCGATTCTCAATTCCAACCCCAATTTCTTCGAATTGAGGCGATGACGATCCCCAATTCTCAGGGATTGATGCCGTCGGAGAGTTGCTTGCCGCTTACCCCGGAGGAGGAGAGGGAGACGGTGGAGGAGTTGACGAGAGTCGCCGACGCTAGTCCCAAGGAAGGCGACGTGTGGTGTCTAATCTCGGCGCGGTAATCTATTTTTCTTTTGATTTTTTCTTTTTTTTTGAAATTGTAAGTATAATGTTTCTTTGTTTTTGATATAATATGGATCCTGGTGCAATGTCATGATTGAAAAGTATTGGATATTATCAGTGTCGACGCAAAAAGTTCAGTTACTCCAATTTGTTTGAAGAGACTAGCCCTACGAAATAATTGACTTTTTTTTGGGTATGAATTTTTTTTTAATTTATCAAGAATCTGGATGTTGTTAGAGGAAGTATAGATAGTTTTATGGATTTCGAATCCTAGATTCTGGCACTGCATTTATACCTTGCACATATATATATATATATATATGTTTTATATTGTGAAAAAATTTGGAAGGTTATTCTTGGTGCAGACCTCCGTGCTGTTTTCGCTCAAGCATAGAAATATTTTTCCATCTTTAGGGTGGTATGTTTTCGAACAAACCCTTGTGATGTATTTATTTTATTGGAAATTGGAAACTAGGTTTGAATAGTAAAGTTATGTTTCGTTTTTGAATTTTTGGGGACCTATTCTAAAAATATTGACCGGCTTCCTTCATTATAAATCTCAGAGTTTAGTTCTGTAGATGATATTGTTAGAACCCTTTCATATGCCTTTGCGGGGGGTGATGCTGCTTATTCCCCAAAGATGTCGAGCTTGGTCCTTGACCTTCCTATATTTGGAGTTCTAATGCTGCAAAGAGGAACTCAATTTACCATTGACCTTTTACTTCTCAAAATCACTATTGAGCTTTTAGTTTTTTTAGTCTCCCTTATATGTCTTCCTTGTCATATTAGGCTTTTGTTGAACCATGCAACCTCATTTATTGTTAAGTTTGAACCAGAATTATGGGTGAAATTTTGGCTCACTCTTCTATTATCGATTTGATCTGTATGATGCAATTGCATTTCAAATGAGAATAGGTTGATTTGGTTTCTCTTATAAGAGAAGCTATTTCTGCAGATTCTGCTCTTTTGAAAGTTTGACTGGAAAATATTGCTTCATAGTCATAATCTAGAATATATCTATGTTGCAGATGGTTTAGGGGCTGGAAAAGATATGTTCAGTTAAAGAGCAGCAATGACGATTCTATTACCTCTGAGCAGTTGAATGGGATTCCTCCACATGTTGCTTGCAAGCCTGGAAAGATTGACAATTCCGAGCTTGTTACAAATGGGACATATGAGGAAAATAATGGACTTGTTCTCCGGAGGAACCTACTAGAAGAAGAAGACTACTGTTTGGTTCCTCAGGAAGTCTGGAAGAAACTTCACGAATGGTATGTTTCTAGACATGTCTCAACTTCCTTTCTTTATAACTTGTGATAATTATCTTTTGCAAAGTCTTTTTATACTGAAAATTTTATAACTATTATAACAGATCGATTCAATTTTATTTTCCCTATTTGAACATTTATTCTCGATCTTTAGGGTTTTACACATGTGGTATAGGTAATGAACAGTGAACACCATTACGTGCTGAACTTCTTATTAGTGAGTGAGTGGGCTTGTTCTAGTATTAGTGTCTGGTTAATGTTTTAGGCATTGTTTGGGAAGTTGCAACATCAGATTCTGCATCCTTCTTTGTTATTTCTATTTTAATATCTTCAGTTGTCTAATGTATGAGACACCTTAGTGTATATGCTAGCGTGACTCTTGCAAGTCATATTCGTAGTGCAACTCTTGCAGCTGAAATCCATATTCATACTTTGTTGCATCTAGAGTGGACTTGTATATTCTGCTTTTGCTGCTTCTTCATGTTTATTGCTACTCATTGTTTCAACTTTTACAGGTACAAGGGTGGGCCAGAATTACCAAGAAAACGAATTTCTCTTGGCTTACATGGCAAAAGTTTTGCGGTGGAAGTTTACCCCCTGAGCCTGCAGTTAGTGGATGGAAGAGATCTCTCCGAAAGAACTATAACAATTAGCAGAAAGGTACTTACTGTAATATGATTGTGGGTTTGGGTTCAGGTTCCATTTCGAGCAGGTGCACATAAAATCCAAATCCACCCTTTTGAATATTCCACTAGGTTGAAGCCCCTATTGCTATGTATTTAAACATGTAGAATTTCATCTGTGGCATGGGACACTGGTTCTGAATTAGATTTCTCAATTGATGTATTGCTAAGCTATTTCGGGCTGTTTTGAGAACAGTGATGTTAGCACATGCAGGCACTGACTCCCAATGTGCTTTTCTCTCAGGCCTTGGTAGGGGAGCTTTACAGCATGGTTTGCACACTACTTACGTTAGAGCAGGCAAAGGTATGCTTTGTGATTCTGCCACGCATGATAGGTTGTTCATTCATGTTCTCTTCCAGCTTATATTTTGACCGTCTATGTTATTTGTAGGTTGACATATGGGATTACTATGAGAAGGTGAAACATGATAACTTGCAGAAATTTGACCAAACTCTAGAGGAAGCTGAGTTGATGATGGACCAGGATGTGAGAAAACACTGCATTTGTTGTTAATGCTTAATACTTTTGACTTTTGGGCTGCTTTCATACCTCCTTAGGTTATGTACAACTTTTAGATTCTTCCAATTGTTGGGGAATGCATATGGTGGATATAAAAATATGTCTTTAACTTCCTATTACTGAGAAATGCACATGGATGATGGATACAAAATATTTCTATTTAGCTGTAGCTGAGAGCATACTTTGGTCATATCTTGGATGTTCTTTGTTTCACTTGATCTTATTGGCCATGGGATCCTCTAACTGGTTTTCTACTTCTTTAGCAGTTGCATTCTTTATTCTACATAATTTCTCTTCCAAATGTTCGTATCTAGTGTATTCTGCCTAAAGACTATTAATGCCTGCTTGATGACAAGTCATATTCTTTGTATCACATTGCACTCTAAGTAGGGGTGCCAAACCGTATCCGTATCCGAGGAAATATCCGTAACCGTATCCGTTAGGATACGAATATGGTTACTCAAATCTATTACCGATAGCCGATAGGATATGGTTGCGGATATGGTTTTGTAGTGAAATATCCGTATCCGTATCCGAAAAAATCCGAATACATATTGGTAATACTCTTACGATAGTTTCGATTCTTAGATTATGGATTTGTGGTTAATTTTGATGATCAAGATGTCTAATCTTAGCTTTTCAATCATAATGAACATATTAACGAACTCTTTTTGTATCACATGACTATATTTTTCTGAATACTATCTAGTTTTCTCATATCCTTTTTGTATCCGCATGCATATCCGTTTATATATCTGCATCTATATCCGTAACCGTATCCGATTTTGGCGGATATGGATATGAATTTTTCTTACCGACGTATATCCGTATCCGTATCCGAGATGGGTAAGCGGATATGGATATGGTAAGTGCCATATCCGAGCCGTATCCGCTCCGTTAACACCCCTAACTCTAAGCCAGGTTTAGAGCTAACTGATTCTGACATGCTGTATTATCTGTTCTGTGACATGTAGTCGTACATAATACATAAGGTTGGAGTAGTCGTACATAATACATAAGGTTGGAGAAAGCTTCCAATAATTGATGTATTTTGGAAATGTGGATAGATGCTAGTGATTCAGTTAGGAGTGAACATGGGGCATATGGATTGTTGATGGTAATATAAGGTACGTAATTTGTGAAACATCAACCCTGCATGGGTATGACTGCACTGCGCTGGTATGACTATGGTTATGGGTATGGACATATGATAGCAAATTTATAGAAGGTGATGTCAGGAACATGGGACACTAGTGAACTGCGACCCGGGTTCAATTGTTTCGGATTTGCAGTGGAACATGATCCTATTTACTAACTCGAGTGACCCAATTTAGAATTCAAACAATTTAAAATTTTGAAAAAAATAACTATTCAATAGAATAAGCAACAAAGAAACATGAGAAACTAAGCAAAAAAAAGTATTCATATCCTAATTGCAACATAATTCTCAATGTTCTTTTACCTTTACAAATATCATCTAGCATATATTTCTTAAATTTGACTCTTGCGAAACCGTTCACTCCTACATTTAAGAACCGAACCTAAAATGTACCACATTCCCTAGCGTACCATATAAGCCTAACCTCTTGTACCCAATTCCTAATGACTGGCATATCACGCTCCCGTTCCCGTCTGGTGAACCTGAACAAACCGGGTTCCATGCAACTATGGAAGGTAGGAATTAGGGAAAATGACTTGTATATATGTGTATGTATGTACATAACTGTGTGTATAGAGTTTGATGGATATGAGCTGGCAGCTTAGATTATTAATCCCAACTATGTTTGCTTGCAGATACTTTTGGAGGTAAAAGATGACGCTTTTTTTCCTTCTAATTCTGGCGTGGATTCAACAGGAAATGAATTGGCTTTGGTTCCAATAGAGCCTCCTAGGTCGCCAGTCACCATTGCTGGAGGGCCCACATTCTCCAATGGTTATTCAAATACGTTTGGCAGCCATTTCCTGCAGGGAAATAGCTTCAGTTCAGTACTCAGGGATATGGATGATGATAATGATTCCATTAGCAATGGGAGTAAAGGAAGTAGTCGGGGACTGAGAGGATTGCAAAACCTAGGAAACACTTGTTTTATGAACAGTGCTCTACAGTGTTTAGTGCATACTCCCGATCTGGTTCGTTTCTTTTTACAAGATTACACCCTGGAGATAAACAAGGATAATCCTTTGGGCATGCAGGTATGAGTAATTTTCCTCTTTTCCTCTATTTTTTTCTGAAGACTTTATAACTTTTTAGTGGATCCTTGGGCCATTTCTTTACAGGGCGAGCTTGCAACTGCTTTTGGAGATCTATTAAGGAATTTGTGGTCTTCTGGAGCTACAGCAATTGCACCTCGTTCATTTAAAGCTAAACTTGCTCGGTTTGCTCCACAGTTCAGTGGGTATAATCAACATGATTCACAAGTTAGTATATCTGTCATCCTAATTTGCTTTTTGTTTTATCTAGCCCTTCTTCCCATTCATATTTCTAGATGAATGTCATGTTCAAATTCAGTAATGTTTTAGATCTGATCTTGTTGTCAGTGGTGAAGAAAAGAAACTCGGAAAGGACAGACCGTATTTTATCTCTGTTCATTTCATGATGTTCCTTTAAAGGCAAAAAGATAGCCGGTGCCATTATGGTCCAAGTTACTAGATAATATAGCTATTTATCAGCATTATGCAACTTTAGAATTGGTATTTTTATTACGGGTTAGAATATTAGTTTTTTAGAGGGTGAGCCTTGGCGCAACAGTAAAGGTTGCTTGCTGCATTGTGACCTGGAGGTCTCAGGGTCGAATCTTGGAAACAGCCTCTCCGCAAAGCGGGGATAGAGCTGCATACATCTAACCCACCCCAAAGTCCACAGTGGTGGGAGCCTCGTGCTCGTGCACTGGGCCAACTTTAGTTTTTCAGATTATGATGGCATGTCATTGTAACTTGTAAGTTGCGTGGAATCGCACTAATGCTGCTGCATTGGATAATTGGATTTGAGTACTTGACTAAAGTTGTTGGTGGCTATAATACTGGATCAGTTGCTCTGTTTCATTTATCTGAGGTTTTTTTCTCATTTTATATAATATATGTTTGTACAATTACCAAAAACATGCGCCAAAATGTTTGCAACAGCTAGTTTATGAAAGTAAATGGTGAGTTTGGGTGCAAAGGAATTGCTTTATTTGGGTAATCTTATTGTATTTTTTGCTTCGTCAAATCACATTTATCTTGAAACATTAATGTTCTTTTCCATAAAATATTACTTGCTATACTATCACATTGATTTTAAACATCTCAGTATCAGACTTACTTCAAGTTCCTATACTAGTTTTCAGTTCCATTTTCTTTTTGAGCTAAGAGTATTTGATACTTGTAATATTACTCATGTGCATCAGAAAGCTATATGAACTGTGCATTCCAGTGCTTTACGAATTTTTTGGATACTGATTAATTTATCATAGTAATATAGAAAGAGATGCCTTCTTATGGCTATCTAGCTTTAGTTTGAATGCAGAGGAATCAACTAGTAATTGATACTTGTTGAATTCTGTAGTTGTTTATTGTGTAATATCTCCTTTGCTTTTTCCCCCCCGTTAAGGAACTCCTTGCATTTTTATTGGATGGGCTTCATGAAGACTTGAACCGTGTAATAAACAAGCCTTACATTGAAGCTAAAGATGCAAATGGTCGTTCGGATGAGGAGTTCGCAGATGAATGCTGGAACAATCACAAAGCTCGTAATGACTCTATAATTGTAGATGTTTGTCAAGTGAGTTAGTACTTTTTTTTTGTCCAACTATATTATTGCATGTTCTGTTTTTCTTTCCTCTTCATCTGTTTTCATGACTAACAAAAAGTTGGCTTATTGTTTTTTCCAATACGTTGACTTATTTTGAGCATCGGTTCATTCCTACTTTGAAAGATTGTCTAGCAGTTAATATACTCTGGTGCGGTTTCAGTTATTAAGTTCATAGATTTGGATTCTCTTGTTGTGTACTTTATCTAATAGGACTTTTTTTTGTTAAAGTTAATGATTGACGGTGGCATAGCCAGGATTCCAGCTTTGGAGGGACCAAAGATATATAAATGTGGTGATATAAGAAAGATGTTATAAGAACTACCATTAAAAACTGTGTAGATAGAATTTGCATTGACGAAAAAGATAAACTAAAGTAAAAGGTTGATAGTCAATCCTAAAATTGTGCATGCCACTCTTTAACAAAAATAAAATAAGCTATTTACATCTAGGGTTTACAAAACAAATCAATCCAAATAGTTAAATAAATAAAGTAAAAAAAGACAGCAATCATGGGAATGAAAAGGAGAAAAAAATTATAACTTTATGGTTTATATAATACACAGCGAGTTAGTTGTCTCTAGAATTGATCAAAAAAACCCCAAAACTCAATAGGAACTTATTCTCTCCGATTTGGGGAAAATTTGAAAGAGATTTGCTTAAAATTTGAGTTGATTAATTGAATTGGAAAAAAGTCTCAGAAAACAACATGTGTTGCTGATTGCCGAGCAGACTCAGCAGAGACCACTGTGATTTCAATTGTGGTTAATTAGCTTATTGGGTTTGAGCAGATTTAGATTAAACCCATTGACCCAATCTCGTTTTCTCAAATTTAATAATGGGTTTGGGCCTTTGTAAAGACCCACAAGCCTTGGGCTATGGAATTATTAAACTGAAGGTTAATTTCCATTTAATGGTGGATTTTAATGGGTTTAGGGCTATAGAATTTTATCAAAGAATATATGTACCCACAAGCCCATGATGATTGACATTAAGATGTAATGGAACACAGGTCTATATTGAGCATGTAATAAACGGTTTCTCATTTCCAACAAGATGAATAGAACAGAAATACAAATTTACCAAAGAATTTTTTCCAAGTCTTATCATTTTGAATGCGGTTGATTGATAGTAGTAGTTTATGTTGCCATTACCAATCTGTCTTGTCATTGTATAAATATGGAGTAGAAAATGTTATAGATAACTGACAGTAATGCTGGCGGATTTCATACAGGGTCAGTACAAGTCAACGCTAGTCTGTCCTGTTTGCAGCAAAGTTTCTGTTACCTTTGATCCCTTTATGTATTTGTCATTGCCACTTCCTTCGACAACTACAAGGACCATGACTGTAACCGTATTCAGTGGGGTTGGGAGTGCCCTTCCGATGCCTTTCACTGTAACTGTGCCAAAAAATGGTACCTGCAGAGATCTCAGTCGAGCTTTAAATGTTGCATGTAGCTTGACGAGTTCAGAAGATTTATTGTTAGCAGAAGTAAAATTCTTATTCTTTCATTTCTTTATTAATTGTCTCTGCTAGAAGACCATTTTCATATAAGAAATCTGTTATTCTGCAGGTTTATAAAAATCGGATTTATCGCTACTTAGATTTTTTCGACTCACTATCCGGTATTAAGAATGAAGAGTGCCTGGTAGCTTATAAACTTCCAGCAAACTATAAGGACTTCGTGAGGCTGGAGATAATGCATCAGAGAATAGAGAGGTAACCAGTCTGGGATTAAGGAAATTTAATTTTAAGATTCTATTAACAAGTGCTCAGTTCTTAACATGGTTATAAGGCTATGCATAAGTTAGAGTATTATTATTTTTAATTGCCTTATAACAATATAAATTGTTGTTGCATGCTGGTGCATACTCTATGTTGTTTGATATATGACTTTCTTATGCCTGGTTTACGATTTTGTCATATTGTGAAATAGAGTTCTAGTTTCACATGCAAAAGCATGCCATAGGGAATTGTGAATATTTTACCTGTATACATATATGTATATACATACATATATATAATATTTGTAAAGGATTTTGATTTTATTTGTGTGATTATTCAGTTTCATGTTTAGACTAACAGAGACTTTTTCAGGCCTCAGGAGCCTCAATATAATTTGTTCTCTCCAAGTTGTCTTGGAACCCCTCTTGTGACTTGCCTCTCAAAGGAAGCTAAAACTGGAGCAGATATTCATACTGCAGTATGTACGCTGCTTTCACCTCTATTGCGAGGAAAAACTCCCATGAAGCACACAAAAGTTAGCAAGGAAAATGGCTATTTATCGAGTTTAGATGGTGTTGTTCCAGGTGATGATAGCAATCCTTGTACAAGTGATACAGAGTTCTCTGATTCCTTCATGGAAATTGAAATGGAAGATGATGCGTGCCCATCACTCCAGATTGCTTTCACTAATGAGAGGGGCTACAACAGGGTTCCAATTGACAATGATTCTAATATACCTCCAGGGTCTTGCATAAGGGTACTGCTCGAATGGTCAGATAAAAATCTGGAACTGTATGACTTTAGTTTCCTTGAGGATCTGCCAGAAGTTTTCAGACCATTTGGTTCAATGGTGAAGAAAACGCGGGAGGAGGCTATCACTTTGTTCTCATGCTTGGATGCATTTCTGAAAGAGGAACCTTTAGGGCCCGATGATATGTGGTTAGTGATCTCTTTGCCTTGTGTGTAGCAGATGTTAAAGTTCATCTCATATTTTAATGGGTTAATTGCGGATAGAACCCCTGTTCTATCATCGAAGTGCAGCTAGGCCTCCTGAAGTTCAATTGTTTCAGATAGACCCTAAATGATTTTTTTTTACTTTTTTACCTTAGAGAGAGATTTTTTTTTTTTTTTGTGACAAATAGACCTGAGGGTGGAAGAGTAATTAAAAAAATCACTCGGGGAGGTCTATCTCAAATTGGTGAACTAAAGTGAGTCTATCCGTGACAATACAATTCCAGGGGTTTATCAGCCGCTGGGTGATAGTATAGGGCAGCAGTCAGCAATTAACCCTATTTTTTTATTTAAAAACATATCCTTATAAATGATGTGTATTAATGCCTTTTGTTGATGTTCTTTTAGGTATTGTCCTGGCTGCAAGGAGCATAGACAAGCAACTAAGAAACTAGACTTGTGGAGATTGCCCGAGATCTTAGTTGTTCACTTGAAGCGGTTTTCCTATAGCAGATACATGAAAAACAAGCTTGACACCTTTGTGAACTTTCCTGTTCACGATCTTGATTTAAGCCAGTATGTAAAGCACAATTCTGATGCTGCAAGGCAAACACATGTGTATGAGCTTTATGCTGTAAGCAACCACTATGGAGGATTGGGTGGGGGGCACTACTCTGCATATGCAAAGGTAATGCTAACTTGCATCACTACTTGTATCTGGTGTTTAAAAAAAAAATTCCAATGGGGAGCCCTCTATTGACTACAATGATAGGCAATTAGATATCGATATGTCCAATAAGATTTGGAATATATGATAAGTGTCCCTCTTTTTCCTCTCTATACTATATTATATAGACTAGTATAGAGGTTCTTCTATTCCCTTGTTTTTGGGGGCAAGTCAGTCGGCCCCTAACGTTTATCTGATAAGTCTAAGAAGCCCTTGGCCTAATATTTAACCCATTAAGTTTTTAAGGTATTATTTTCAGTGTCTTTAAGTCCCCATAGTAGTACTCCGCCCGCTCTAATCATAGCTAAAAACATTATTCTGTTGAAGGTAAAGTTGGAATATTTCTAGAGGGAAACCACCATGGAGACCAAATAGACTCGAAATACTAACTATTAAGGGTTTAATGGGTTATAATACGGGGTTAAGGTCCTTTTACAAATTTCAAGTAAATACTGGGCCTGCTATGACTTTGAGCTCTGTGGTTGGGGTTCATAGATGAGCGAATATTGTCCTAACCATGGAGACCAAATAGACTCGAAATAATAACTATAAGGCGTCGTTTGGCAAAGGGTTAAGAGGGTAGGGTTAAGGAGAAGGGTTAGTTTAATGGGTTATAATACGGGGTTAAGGTCTTCTTACAAATTTCAAGTAAATATTGGGCCTGATCTGACTTTGAGCTCTGTGGTTGGGGTTCATAGATGAGCGAATATTGTCCTAACCATGGAGACCAAATAGACTCGAAATAATAACTATAAGGTGTCGTTTGGCAAAGGGTTAAGAGGGTAGGGTTAATGAGAAGTGTTAACTTAGTTAAACTGTCGTAAGGGGTTAAAAATAGTTCAATCCTGTTTGGATTAGATAGTTGTGATAAAGGGTTACCTTATTTGTATTTGGCAAATGAAGAAGGGTTAAGGAGGTTAATCCCGGTAATTTTTTTCTAAAATACCAGCTTTAATCTTATTGAAATTTAACACATTCATTAACAACTATTCAATTAAGACCAATTCAACTCGAATTTGCATGCAATTGAGCTATCAATTTGTTATCCTAATTTCTATATTATTTAAATAAATCATGTGGAGAAGGCTAAAGAAATCAATTTAAATTAAGAAATTATAAATTAGCATTTCAACTTGAACTATGTTAAAAGGGCAACGTTCTAACAGAACTTTAAAATGCCTTACATTAATCTCAAGAAAAATTTACTATTCAAGAACAAAAGTAACCATTTGCTCAAAATACTATATTCTGCTAAAATATAGATAATAGTAAAAATTCATAATGTAAGTGTAGACGTACATTCGACATTTGCTCATTACACATTAATATGTGATGTACCAAATTAAATTTTATTTAATTAAGTATGTTGTTTTGGAATCGCAATCTGGACTTCATGCTATAGCATCATAAGTTATTATATTTATAAGACGGAACTCTTTGGAAAAGGTCAATATCTATTTTGCTTCATGGGCTATAGCATGGACCCCATCACCAAATAGGTATGGATCACATAATTCCATCTTTTGCATCATACGTGCCCCACCACTAACTGAAATCTTTAAAAAAATCCACATGGGGATTTGTTACCCGTGGCCAAACGGTGCCTAAGGGTTTAATGGGTTATAATGCTGGGTTAAGGGCTTCGCGCAAATGCCTTGTAACTGTTAGGGGCTGATCTGACTTTGAGCTCTGTGGTTGGAGTTCAGAGATGAGCAAATATTGTTCTAAGCATGCAAATGCTTCTGTAATAGAATAGTTTGTAGTTATTTGAGTATTCGAACTAATCTTCTGCTTTCTTCTTTTGTTTTACTATGTAGTTGATAGAAGAGGACAGCTGGTTTCATTTTGATGATAGCTTTGTTTCTCCGGCAAGTGAAGATTCAATCCAGACAACAGCGGCATATGTTCTTTTTTACAGGAGAGTCCAGGTTGATACGGAAAAGTCTAATAATACAGAAATGGGCAACGGGGAGGAGCCGTCTTCTAGCGCTAACTCCTTGACATGAAACAGAACCCCAAAGTTTTGCACATTTTCATCGCTCGTGCTCGTTTTTCTGACGGCAGCGTTCCCGTTCTATTCTTTTTGCTATACAATTGAGGGATGGTGAATTTTGCTACTACATTGGACAGGCCGCCGCAGTTTTGTGGTGACTGAATTTGGAGGTGTTTCATTCATTGGCATACTTGGGTGTCTTCAATACCGTAACGCTTCATTCATTGGCATACTTGGGTGTCTTCAATACCGAAACACTGTGAAGCGTTTATATACCGAGGCGTTAGTCTTATACTAGAAATTTTTGTATGTAGATTAGAAATTATTATTCAAGGCGCCCATTTTTTGGTTGTCTCAAGTCAAAGTGAATATAAGGTTCTATTGTCTTGCCGTTATTACTAATTTTCTCATCTGCGCTGGTGGTTTTGGTAATGCTGATGCTAGTATTTTCTTTCAATAAGAAGTTGTTGGTAAAGTGTTTGATTAGGAAGGATGAGAAGTGGGCGGTCGCAGCGTTGTGTGACGATTGTGTGAAGTAAAACTCCTTTAAACTTAAGTGGGCTTTTTTTACGAGCATTGAGATTTTTGTTAACATGGGATATAAATGAAGACACAAATCTTAAAGATAAAGATAATATTGATGTGTAGCATAAATTTCAAAATATAATGAAAAGATAAAAAGTTTGGTGGACAAGTGTTCCTATCCACTTAAGTATACATATATAGAGAGAAATTGGACAACATTGGTACCAAGTTTCTACATTGAACTTGGTAGTGATGTGGAGAGATTTGGCTCCTACATCATGCCTAAAAAATAAAGCCTCAATCAATTTTCACTTACTCCAAAATAGAGGTTTTATTTTTGAGGAGTGATGTAGGGGTTAGATTTGTCCACATCAGTTCTAGATTTTGACATTGGTCAGCGACGTCGCAGTACCAGAAGTATTTCGGACTACTAGATAAATTACTGAGTATGCTGGAAACTGAAGAAGTCAAGAAACCGAAGCCACTTACGGGTCCTTCTACAAGACCAACGTTAGGCAAAATTAGGGTCTATCTTGTCCAAAGTATTTCACATTCCTCGATAAAATACTGAATTTTTCATGGTGGGTATTGTGTCATATCATTGTCAAGATGAAAAATCCTCTCCTTGTCAAGGTGACTTCGCTTAGTGGTCCTCCGCCCTAACCATAGCCGAAAATATACTATTCTTTTGAGGGTAAAGTGGGAATATTTCTGGCGGATAACCACCATGGGGACCAAACAGGTTGGAAAAATAATCTATAAGGGCTTAATGGGCTAAAAATATTAGGAATCTCAAGTAATCGTTAGTGCTTCGAGTTAATTTGATGAGCAACTTTTGTTCTAAAACGCGCAAATGTTTCTTTTATGGGCTTCTTAGTAGCTCCTCCGAGTATTTTTACAGTATATCTATAAAAATAGGGGGTAGGAAGTTTAAAACAGTTATAATACAGGGAGTTTATTGACAATTAACACAATTAACTTTATTAATCTATGCTTATGTGGACTGTCGACAACTGATAGGCATCAATTGGGGAAGGAGAGCGCGTTAATGGGCCTCATCCTCGTTGGCCCACCACCTGATGTGTGTGTTATTGGATTGTTTATTCGCAACTATTAAGATGCTGAATATTCGTTGGCTGGCAAGTCTAGGCCTATATCAGGATAAGCATGTGCGCATGAGTTGCGCCGTTTTCTTTTTCTTTTTCTTTTTCTTTTTCTTTTTCTTTCTTTTTTTTCCCCTCAGATTATTTGTCTGTTTGTATGTAATGGATTATTGTATTTGGACATACAACTGGGGTTGACATTGTGGCCTAGTTGGCAGTAGCACTTTTGATAGATTTATTGTATTTTTTTTAATACCTTGGTCCGGAATTCAGCCTAGAATTGTGGGAGCCAGGTTGAAACCTCTTAACCTTCTGGATCAGCCGCGGTGGATTGATGTAGCATTATTTTTTTTAACGGTTTTAGGTAAACAATCATAACTGATTGTTGAAATTAGGACATGGATATACCAAGTTAATCCATAAGACTACACTATTGGGTATTTGATTTCAACCTTGATTTTTAAATAGATTACTCATTCTAATATTTCACCGAACTGTCGTCATGTAGCGATAACGTATCAACATCTATAGGATCTTTCATGGGGATTAAGCATAACTTAGTCACTGTTATGCATGAACTTAGTCACTGTTACGCGAATCTCGAGCATCATCCATCATGCATGAGCTGAATTTATTGTGGTGGTCTGAATAGACAAACCATGAAAAACTTTTATACCACTTGGTAGAAAAGGTAAAGAAAAATTTTTCTAAATAAACTCATTCATATTTTATTTTCTAAAAATAGACCTCTTTGAGTTTTATTTATAAAAATAGATCCATTTTATCTTAATCTGGTTCCTAAATAGTCGGGGTTGACAACCCCGACTATTTAGAAATTTATAAACCCCCAATTATAACCCTAAACCCTAACATTTTATGCACTAAATAGTCGAGGTTGGCAACCCTGACTATTTAGAAACCGGATTAAGACAAAATGGGTCGATTTTTTGTAAAAAAAACTCAAGGGATCTATTTTTAGAAAAAAATTTATGAAAGGGTTTGTTTAGAAAATTTCTTCAAAAGGTAAATATATAGGCAAGGTGAACTATTCATGTATTAAAATATGAAATATTTATGAGAGGGGATGCCAAAGAGAAGGGCTTTAAATATGACGTGTCTAAACATCAACCACGACAAAGTCAGAGGCGGATCAACGTGATGCTGTAGGGGGCGGCGCATTCGCGTGTAGGCCCTACACGTTTGAGTATATATAATCGTTCAAACCCCTTCTAAATTTACAATTCGCCCCCCAACATTGAAACAATACGCACTCCATCCCACTAAAGAAACCAATAGATCATTTGCGTTTAACACCTTTGAATTTAGTAGCTCATTTGACAAGGAATTCTAAATGAGCTACCTTTTTTTTTTCTTTTTGAATCAAAAAATAAAATAAAATAAAAATAATAGCTCATTTAGAATTTCTAATCACATGGGCATATAATCAGTAAAAGTCCAAACGCCCAAACAGCACTAAAAATCCAAAAACTCGTTACTCAAAGTTCTCTATTTTATCTATGGATCCAATTTTTGCAATCCCAAACTCAAAGAGACCAAAATGCTAACCTCCTGCATTTTCATCAGATACTATAATTTCATAATTTTTTATTTTACTTTTATTTTTAGGTAAATATTTGTGATCCAACCCCTCAAGAATTTTTTTTCGGCTCCGCCGCCCACCAACATAGTTTATACCCCCCAAAAAAAACTACAGTCATGAGCACAACAGCCAAGGGGAACACACTAGTTCCTCGTATACTACAAGATTCATAACTTCTAACAACATAAAAAGTCCAAAGAATTAAGAGGTTATTTGATTGGCCAAAAATTCAAGGAAATGAATTACAAAAAATATATTTCTCATAATAGTTACATTTCTTTTATTTGCTTTACACGTTGAAACGAAATGAAAAGATTATGTTACACGTTTTTATTAGCTGACGTGACTCATACTTAAGAAAGTCCATTTTCTAGAAGTCCATTTTCTAAATTTTTGTAAGGAAATGAGTAAAAACTCATTCTTAGTTGTTTTCATCCCCAATTTTCTTTTTCTTTATTTCAAATAAACCAGCCAAACAGCCCCTGAGCAGAGAAGAATATATTAATTTTTTTTTTCCTTTTATTATTTGTTTATTTTTTTTTTCTGTATACATAGAGAAAACATCCGAAATATTCAAATTACTCAACTCACGTACTTGACAGTTCGAACCTAACAAAACTTACAGTGCCTCTCACCACCGCGAATCACCATCTCTCAATTTCCTTTTTTGATTTTCAAAAAAGAAGGAAAATTAAAAATAAAAATCCAACATAACGCCAACCCGATTCTCCCTCGAAAATGAAGAAAAGTCAAACTTAACGGCGAATTCCGACGTCCGTCATCCTCATCTGTGCGCCGTCACCAGCGTCTCGATGAATCTCAACCCATCAAATTTGGGAGCAAATTTCTCGCTTTCAACTCCCCTCCTCGATCCCGAACCCTAATTTCCATTTTAAAAAAAAACCGATCTTTAAACTCCAAAATTCTAACCAAATTTAGAAAACCCTGCGGAGGACGCAGTAAAAATTTACCTCTTTAGAATTGGAAGGGAGCTTTACGTAGAGATCGGACTTGGAACTGATCGCCACCGAGAAAAAGGCGGCGACGGAGGCAGCGATCACGCCGGCGTTCTTCATCTCTTGATAATTTTCAATTTTCAATCTTTCGTTTTCAATTTCTCGCCGGCGGAGGGATCCACGAATTTAATTTTGCGTTTTCCTCCTGATTTTATACTGGTTTCGAAATTGAAGCGGATTTAATTGGGATTTGGGTTCCGGGGTCGTTTCGCGTTGGATCGCCTTCGTTGTCGGCCCCACGTGCGCGCCAACTTAGCGGGACGTTCGGTGCGCTAGCTAGCGGGGTGAAGATCCAGTGAGAATCTGACACGTGTCATGGTGCTCCGACGTGTGAGGCCGGAAGCCGTTAGCGTTCGTACGTGTGTGATTCTGACATTTTCAAATTTACAACGTGCTCTCTGAATTGTGTGACTTTATGTTTTAGTACTTGTCGAACTTCTTATTACAGATGAGCCCATGATCTTGCTCGCTGTCTATGTGTACTATGCATTTTGATCTTTTCCACTATCAAAAAAATAGTATAGAGAGACCAGTACTTTAATCATATTTATTGATTTATTTAGTATGCAGTTATACTTTATTCTAAATCTAACATTCATCATACCTCAAGTGAAATTGTATGCTTTATGGATTTATATTGAAGAACAAATCACGACCAGTCGCTAAATAAAATCGACGGTTGTCAGTAATGATTTCTCCACTACTTCTTAATACTAGGAAAAATCAGAATCATTCTATTATATAGTTGGTGTACTTAGAGCACAAAATCTATTATATAGCTAGCCCAAGATAGTTTTTAATGAGCTGACTAGTAAGCAAAATTTAACTCAACATCATAAAATTGGAGAGTAAATTAGCAAATATCTGCGTAGAGAGCCCATCTACTGCTTACGAGGGGGAAAACATGAATAGGTACATTGATTTTTAAACTTTTTTGTTAATACTAGTCTCAAGATAGCACTTACCGCACCAACTAAACAATTAGCAAGTTTTTAAAAAAAAAACTCGATGTAATAATCTGGAGACCATATCAGCAAATATCTCAATTCCAGGGTTGAATTTGTAAATTATTGTTTATTTTAGTCCATGATGATAAACTTAGCTTTCAAGTTCAAATGAACTTGTGCCTTTGGAACCTGCTTCATTTGGCT